ATTCTCCCTAACATGCGGCAAGGACCAGGATTTACGGAGGCGTGTGTACAGTTTGTCCTCAAATCTGAACTTCCATCTGTATGGAGAAGTGTGCGCCAGGGGGAGGAATCCAGAGAGATCGAAGTTAGGACTGATTTGAGAGCGGATCGGTTTTAGTTCAGCCCCAGGACGTGCGTGTGGTAAGTGCCACCCACCTGTTCAAAGAGAGATGACAAACTAGGTTGAAGGTAAACCCCTCATGGTCTTCTATTGGTGAAAGGGCGATGGGAGACACTCCTCAACGCGATGGGCGGAGTGCTCACTTATGGCGTTTAACTCTGGGCCACAGCAGCACTCGTTCCTTTATTTGAAGGCACAAGGCACAATGATTACTCCCAACGACATTGGTGGGAGGGGTGAGAGGGGTGTGCCAAGCGCCCTCTCACAGCTTTTCCACCAATGACATTGGCATCGCTCAGCCTCACTCATTGTGCCCACTGCCTTTGTCACGGTGAAATGTGAACTTCAAGATGCTAGCGATAGGTGACTCCAAGAGGAAGAGGTCAAAAGAAGTAGCCGAAGAAAGCCCCAAAAACCCTTTTTGGGTCTGAGGGAGTTCACCAAAATTCATGCTCAAAATTTTCGGGGGTTCCACCTTAGTGTTGTGGTGACTTTCGATTGCACTTCAGTTTATGTCCACGCTATGTCAAGGCTTCATGGGAGTTGAGCATACGGGCGGGGCCTCAGAGCGCTAGGCGGCCTGGTCACTACACATCATTCGAGCGGTGAAGATGGCACATTCTACCCTACTCCGGGCCAGATCTCATCCCTTCCTTAGGGGTTATGGACGTGCAATTTCGCTTCTCAGAAGAGCCGGCCTCTCCATACTTGAAAATGTGCCCGAAATTTGGAGATGGCCATGAGTGCGTTGTACGGACGCGCGACGCAACAGCACGCGTCTCAGCCAGGTTATGTCAAAGGGGGTTGTCGTGGAGTGATTGATAGTATATATCTCCCATGGATGTTACTTGCATTGTTCCAGGCCGATCGAACCTATTTATTAACCCAGGGACCCAAGGAGAATTCGATAGAAGACTTTTGGCGAATGATATTTCAGGTACCTTAAACAGTGTAGCAATTTGGCTGGGAATAATTTTGTATGACGCTACTTTTTAGGAGCAATGTGCTGGCGTCATAATGTTATGTAATTATTATGAAGATGGCATGCAAAAATGTGAAGAGTATTTCCCTACCGAAGGCGGCGGTTACAAGTATTACGGGAAGATGTTTGTTAATAACAAAAAAGTAGGGATGCTCATCCTTCATGCGAAGGGCCTAGTATCCTTCATACCCCGGAAGTAGGGAGGGCGTGGCCGCGTACCTCACTTGAACGTGGTGACGGCTGTCTTATAGAGTGATATTTTCGTTTTGCAGCAATTGTAGTCTACCTTTGTCCAGCACAAAACAGGTTTCAATGGAAATGTCTCATCAAAGCGCGTCCAACATCACGTTCAAACAACAGTTTGAGCCCGCACCCTCAACGTCCTCCTGTATGGAGCTGAACAGCTAAGAACACAACATGACATAAGCTCTGTCTGTAACTCAACGTGTATGTCAGGGCCAAATAATGCATCATGCCGACCACCCATTGTAACATCGCCGTGAATAATCGCGGCAAGCACGTATATTGGCAAAGAGCCCCACACGACGATCACTATCTCACCAGGGGGAATATAGGTCGCCCCAATTTAGGAGGGGAGGTGTTTCATTGTAGTGAGCATGTTTCAGCACTTGTCGCACTGTGCCCCCCCCCTCCCCGTCCACCCATGGCTGCAATGACATTTCAAGGAAACGCTCCTTTTGAGGTGGACCATCTCGACCAACACGACATCTATACACTCGAAATTCTGCCCGACGGCTGCTCAAACTCGATTCTAACTCGATTAGCCCATTGTACAACGTGGCCCGACAAAGCCGTGCCAAGCAGTGGTCGAATGGTCCTTCGTCTGTTGAAATGGATGCAATCACTTGATGCGGTAAGTTTGACTTAAATGCACCGTACAGGATGGACTTGTGGGCGGAGTCAGAAAACGGAGTGGTTGGTCGCACCTTGTTGTCTGTGAATAAGTGGGGGGCGGGGCGTCGTCGATAAGGTGGTTCCCTGACTCCGCCTGCTAGGTACTCCGACGATCTCTCCAAATAGGGCTCCGTCATCCCTGTTAAACCTGCTGATTTGGTCCAGAACGCTGCGGTAGCGATTGTTAGTGGAGCCGGTGTTGGACGAGCAGGCACGTACATCGCAATAGATCAAGTCTGTAACCGACTATTCAAAGGATTCGACGCATCGGTAAGCTAGCTCAGGATGTATTCTGCGCTTCTGGTAGCAGTGACACTACCAGAGCGGCCGCGCGCGGTCGCGTCGCAGCTCCATCGTTTCGTGTACAACATTTATGTGTGCTGAACGACCTCCATTCTTGTGCTCGCGGAAAAGGCTGAAACGAAATCAAGGCAGTGAAAGTCGCCCGAAAAGATTTGCAGTTGGCTCCGCGACGCGACCGCGCATGGCTGAGTCCGCCAGACACTTCTTTTCATATTAATGTTATTTCTCTTCTAATTTCAGGTTAAGGAAGTAGCGATGGAAATACGTAAACAACGTGCACATGCCATCTCAAACGAATTGCAATACTTTTTCATTTACTCAACAGTACTCGACTACATAAGGGTGAATACCTTACTACATCAATAAGAATTTGTTGAGGGGTTACTCACAAGTCACCGGAGCGCGCGGTCGCGAAGCGACTTGGCCCCAATGGTATTCCGCTGTTGCATCTGCAATGCTGAAGCGACGGATGTGAAAATCACCAAGTATCGAAGGCCTCAAGACGTACGCTTCGCGTCCGCACGCGTCAGATACTTGACGAATACTTAAACACTGAGAGGCCACCTGCTACGGTTGTCTAGCCCACAATAATTTAACAAAATTTAGGCGAAAATTCCAAAATACCACAACGTCGTCTCGAAATTTTATAACGAATTGAGTCAGGCAATATAACATGTCATAGATACATATATTTAATTGAATAAAGATTGACAATTCTTGGCGAGAAAATGAATAGTATGATACCCTTGGATAGAGTTGCCAGGGGGGGTTGAACATTGCCGGGGTATTCTGCTGGTAGCGAACAGGTTTTTCATTTGAAAGGACTTCTGTGAGTAGCGCATTGCTCCGCAACACTCAAATTGGTACAACTATTAGGTTGTCCCGAAAGTTCGTGACATTTTTCAGAATCTCGTATCAAATCGTTCCGCGGCTATTTCGAGATCCAGTTATGTGGTCTATGGGAAGTGTGTTAAGTGAGCATCCCACTTACCGTCCCTCGCAGTCGCCGTTGCCATATCCAGAACGGTAGATGAAGTTCATCATTTTCGACGCAACTTCGCTATGAATCTCCACCAAGCCATAACGTGGTTG